AGGGGTATTACAAGTTTCACAGGAGGTAGGATATAGTTTGCTTAATTAATTATATATAATTGCACAAATATATTTTTGGAGTTGCACTTCGACTATCAGGCAGTTGGTCATGTCAGCATATGAATTTGCATATCTCACATAACAAGAGAGCTAAAGACTATCCCTGGTTTTCTTAACTTCAATTCCTAAAAAGAAATGCAAATCTCCTAGATCCTTTAGAGCAAACTCTGAACTTAAATCTTCCAGTAATCTAGTTATTGCCTCATTGGTGAACTAGTCACAATAACATCATCAACATATATGAGAACATAGATGAATGTCTTGAACTTGTTGTAAATAGATATGCTTTGATGGAATAAACCCTAGTTTTGCAGCTTTGCACTTAAACGAGAATACCATGCTCTCGGGGCTTGCTTTAGTCCATACAAAACTTTATCAAGCTTATAGACATGAAAAGATGCATTTTATCCTCAAACCCAGGAGTCGGTTTCACGTACACTTCCTCTTCTTGAACACCATGAAGAAACACATTCTACACATCTAGCTGTCTAAGACTCCATCCGCTAGAAACAATGGATAACACAAGACGAATAGAAGCAGCTTAAAGTGTTCACGACTGATGTTTAAATTATGATACCTTGGCAAATCACTAGTTTGCGTAAAGACTGAAATATCATAAGCTTATTTTACAACATGACATTTTCACAAGCTGAGCACAACTATTTTTGAATACCACAAGTCAACTATACTAATTTCGTGTGCTTTCAAACAAATATATTTCCTGGCAATGATATAGCATGTGTTATAAACTTGTCGAGATTACCGCATTCCCTTTCTGTCGATGCTTTTGGAAAGTACTTCCATCAAAAGCAGCATGTACCTGGCCAATCAACGGGCGTGCTTCCCCCTCAAACCGAACTGATATCAGTTACAAAAATCTTTGACTATAACTTTTTAGATATACGATATTGAAGTTATGCAAACATTGGGAAGATCATAAATTTGAAGGACACACGATAGGTAGGGAAATAAAGGGATGGGTTTTCAATAATGAAAGAAGTCACTCTCCTGGTCTATGCATGCATGATTGCTTGGACGATGTCGCTCTATAAATACTGAGTAGAAACTCCTAGAACAACTAGCAATGGCTCTTCATTTCAGTGATGCATGTCTTGGAGGCAAACCGAACTTGAGGAACATAACTACCTCATATTGCTTTCAATGATGCCAATGGCATGGTGTTATTTTTCATCTCCACATATATATGTTAGAGCTAGCTAACTCGGAATGGGAGGCAACAGGGAGCAAACACATCCTAGTTAGCTGATAAGTAGCTGAAATCCAGCAAGAGCCTTCATGTCGGCTCTGATGATAGCTAACCTCACCCCCAAGGCGACTACCATATTACTAGTAAGAACATGGGTGTGATAGTGTTAATTAGCTAAGATGGTTATTATATATGTTATTTCATAGCTAGGAAGCGTTTGGGTTGTCTATGGAGCACGGTTTTGCACCACGTTACGAATTCTACATCATCAAGCGATTTAGGTAGCCTATTTGAAGCATGGCGTCATTCATTCTGACGTGTTTATTTTTGTTGCTACTCGTAGTCCCCAAGTCCACATTTCTAGGCTTCCTGCAAATATGGCGACTTGTCCACCGCATAATGATAGGTGCTGTTGCTGACTAGGGAATCCTGACTTACATATGTATGTTCCACGTAGCACAGACCATGCAATCGTAGATACATTGGTCCACTTGAGAATTGAGATAGTATTATCAGTTATCACTGCTGCCTAAGCAGCTCCTAAGCATGTGACTCACTCCCTGTCCGTTTTCTCTCTCTTCTGGCGCGGTTCATCAACCTCCAGTGGAATTTCAAGTTTTCCTTTTTAATTTCTTTTGGAAGTTTAGTAGTTCAGAATCTTCAAAAGGATTGAAATTCGAAAGTGGGGGCAATTAACTGACATTTGTGTCCGCATTTTCTAAAGTTAGCGAAAAACATTGATCATGTGTTGACATTCCAAAAATGAAAACTGTTATCAGAAATTGACCACAGGCTACTTCTTTGAGGGTTGAACTCGGGTTGGCTTAACCCTCAGTGTTGCACCGTGCAGATTGAGCTATCAAAAAAGTACAATATATTTTGAAACTATTTATATCACGAACTAATACAACACGGTGCATCTAGCACACTATAAAATTCCAAACTCAAATTTGATCGACACTTTAAAAAACAAAAAGGAGAAATACATTAGTGAAAAGTAGCCCTAATCGCCTTCTGAGAGAGCAAAGAAAAGCGCATGAATGCATGTGGCTATGTTTCTTCTTTGTAAGGTCTATGCAGCAAATTTATTCATTATTCAAAAAGACCTTGAAAAGTAGTACATCAGGTAGTCTGAAGTCATCATCTCAGCAACATATGTTGCTACTCCTATCCACATGATGAAGGGGTGCCGATAGTCCGAGCCTAATACTAAACAGACATCACACAAATACCTAACATCTAAAACTAGAGGCCCCAACCAAGCCACATACTGGGTTTGGAGCACAAACCGGTCCGACGCACTCTCATGTGTCGTCGCCGCCGTCCTCAATCAATCCATCATCAGAGCAAACTAACAAACCGGCCTTGCCAAGCTTTTCTGCCATCGATGCTACCATACGCCAGGCAGCATCCTCCTCCTGTGCGAGTCCATCTCCGTGCATCGGACTTTGAGTCTCCAGAGCGCCATGCCGCCGAGATCCGCCGCCATCAATGTGTAAGATGAAGCACCGCTCCACCAAAGAAGCCATCCTCCGGTGCCTCGACCCCGTGTTCACCTCCAAGAATGACGCCCCCAACGGGGAAACGACACCAGAGAGCCGCTGTCATCCGATCTACTGATATAGGGTTTCCCCCGGAGGTAGCAGAGAGTGGCCTTGAACTTCTCCATGGCGATGCCTTCAGGAAGGGAACGGCGCAGACAGCGTCGCCACCGCCGGCCTTGGCAATAGCCGATAGCAGGTTTTCACCCAGATCTTTCAAAGAATCCATCTCTCGTGCACGGAGCGTAGCCATCCCTGTTGGGATCTGGATGATCCAGGCCGCTGCTGCCAGATCACAGCAAGGAGAAATCCCCACCAAGACCTGCTGGCCGACCAGGGAGAGCGAGAGCGGGCCTGCAGTACCAGATCCGCACAGGATCCGTGCCCGCGCCGCCGCCCCGAAGCCAAACCCACGCGCAGCCGCCACGGCCTGGCCGCTTGCCCACGCTGCCGTCTGTCCGCCGCGTCGGCCCCGCATCAGTGCCACGCCTCCGCTGCGCCGCTGCATCTCACGCTGCAGCCATACACCGGGAGGGGGAGAGGGGCCCCTCCACCGCTGACGCACCGGGCTTCGCCCGGCGGCGCCTTCTGACGGCGGCGAGGGGAGGGGTGGGTGTAGAGGCGGCCACGTGCTGGACGCTATGTGGCTATGTTGTTATGTCATCATTAGCGCTCACCAAACATGGTTTGTGTTTTAAGTTCCGCCAAACAAAAAGGATTCATATTTCAACGTCTATCTGTCAAGGATAAAGAATACGAGCCTGAGTTATTCCATGGGGATAAGATTATAATTCCATACTAATCAAGTTTAACTTCTGAATTGTAATCTATAGTTACTCACCATTTCATTATTGACCTAAACATAAGTTCATACTCCGCATTGTACTACATAATAATCAAGTCTAACTTCTGATAACCATAAAAAAAGAGTCTAACTTCTGATATGTAAACCATAGTTATTCACCATATCATTCCTCAAAGAACTTAACATAAGTTCCCGTTCTTTTTGCAAGATATTGCTAACATTACTGCAACAGTACAGGCTAATGAACGCCTGCCTAGCATCACATCCGTCGATTCGAAATGATATCTCTAAATACCCTAATACCAAATCTTCGATTATAGTTTTTCAGAGATATGATATATGCCATCACTCATCAATGAAAGCCAGTTTAATGTTCAAGTACACAAGATAGGTAAGAACTAACTATTGTTTTAGATAGTGGCAATCACTCTACTATCCTCTATACGCATCATCACATGCATGTGACAGCTCTATAAATTGCAGACTACGTGCTAGTATTGCTCTTTTCCAGTGATGCATGGCTTAGTATTTAGCTGAACTCGCTGAACGCTGCTAGACTATATTTGCTTCCTACGCTGGCCAAGCTCCACCTGATCTGGTCAGGCAACTAATTTA